CTCCATTGTTAAAAACCTTACTTGAACCCTGATAACCAAAGTCAAACCTTCCGTTCATGAGTAAAATCCTGGAAAGAGAAGCTGCTTCCCAACGCCACAAACTCTTTGAACCCTTCGATTCTGACACACAGCACTAAGACTGCTCTCGTCAAGATTACAAATCACATCCTCTTTGCTGCAGACCCACATCAGCATCCTCATTCTCCTGGACTTTTCAGCAGCTTTTGGCAGTCTCTTATTCTATCCTCCTTGACTCTGTCCAACTATGTTCACCTCACAGATGTAGCGCTCTCCTGATTTCAGTCATATCTTGCTGACAGGAGAGATCATGTCACCTGGATGTTCCTTGTCTAGTACAGTCAGGCAATGTCTCCCAAGAATCTGTGCTGTGACCTCTTCTTTTCATCATTTACCGCCACCATCCACTATTTTGAGCTGAGGTTCCACTACTATGCTGATGATACACAGTTAAATCTCAGCATTAAACACTCCAGTCAGCACCTTCCTCTGATCCTTATCAGGTTCTGGGAAACATCAAAATCTGAATGTCAACCAACTTTGTCAAGTTGAACAACAATAAAATCGAACTGTCGGTTGTTGTATCTAAGCCATCGTCCTGAAAGTGGCTGATCATGGCCTTAATGTGAATATATTCTTCATTTCACCATCTCCAGATGTTTGCAACCTGGATGTTGTTCTGGACTCCACTCTCTAATTCTCATCACATATCAAATCTGTCTCTAAATCCACCTTCGACCATCTGAAAAACATCTCCAGACTTTGGCCTTGACTCCCAGACACAGCAGCTGAAACCCTCATTTATGCCATGTCCATGCTCCACAAAATCTATTGGACCTTCTGTTCCCCTAAACCCCATCTCAGACTCTGTGTTCACATGTTAAAGTCCTTCTCTCTATTCCCTCACACCAGGCTGTGGTCCTTTGGGACAGAGCCTCCAGCACTGTTGCTCCCACTCTCTGCAACATGTTCCTCCCTGAGTTCTGCAACACACTCAAAAAGCATTTGAAATGTCACCTACTCACTAAAGCCTTTGGCTTTTGACTCTTTTAAAAAAAATGGTCTAAAGCAGCGGTCCCCAACCTTTTTTGCGCCACGGACCGGTTTATGCTCGACAATATTTTCACAGACCAGCCTTTAAGGTGTCGCGGATAAATACAACAAAATAAAACTAGTACCGGTACCGAAAAAAAGAAGATTTATTCATAACACACGTGAAAAGACCCAGGAAAACCGAGTTAACGATAAAAACGATAACAAAATAACGCTGAAAACCGATAAAAACCCTGAAAACCATCCATTTCACACCTGAGCCTCAACTCTCGCGGCCCGGTACCAAACGACTCACGGACCGGTCCGAGGCCCGGGGGTTGGGGACCGCTGGTCTAAAGTAACCTTGGATTTCTTGAAATGCGCTATATAAATCTAAGCTATTATCATTATTACTGTTACGAGTTAAATCCTTAAATTTGACTCCACACATCACTTTGGCTGCTTCACTTACACTGCGTAGACACCAAGCTGTTGTCCAGCAAAGCCAAAACTCAACAATGAAATGTCTTAAATAAGCCTGCCAGCAATATCACATGAACAGGAGCGTAGGTTGACCACCACTGGTAAGGCAGAAAAAGAGAGAGTGCCATTGCAATCTCCTGCTGTCCAAGGTGTGAAGATAGAAAGTCAGAGTTCATTTTCTGGAGGCCAGCTACTTCCCACTACTGCTCGAGTTAAAATAAGAAACGCTGTGTCCTGAGGACATTTCCACATGTGTGTAGCATGTGTGTATGCTGTGCAGTAGTCAAAGCTTGCCGTGTGTCAGTTTGCGTGGGTGTGAGAGCAAGTTAAAGACGAAGCAAGAGTGTTCCTGTAAGTGTGAATCACTCAGGTGTTGGTGTGTGTGAGTGTGCAGTCTGTCAGAGAGAAAGATGAAGCAGTGAAAATGGAAACAGAAAATAGTGAGTTTAAATGAATGCAGAGAAACTGAAGCGTATTAAAGCTCAGGAGCACAGTGTGTGAGAGAGATAATGGGACAGAGGGAAAGGGGTCATTTGGGATTACTTTGCTTGTGATAAATTGAGATTACTTTGTTTGTGTGATAAATTGGGATTAATGCGTTTGTGTCAGTGTTTCTTAGCAAAATGTACTTGATTACTCAACCGCTCATGCACTGCAGCCTGCAAAGACATTTGGACCAAGCTCATTAAAAACTTGGTGTCCAGCTGCACTTACCCATAGCAGTTAACATTGTCTGTGTTTGATGGCATGGTTAAATGTATTTGTTTGTACCCACTGTGTACTTTAAATGTCTTTTTGTTTATCTATGCACAAAAAATGTCCCTATCTCTGTTATCCACTTTGCCCGGCAACATTTGTTTGTGTGTATGCCTTACTGTTTCACCTCCACTTCTGCCTTTTTGTGTGTCTCTGTGGTCTGCTGCCTCACACTGTTTTTGCTGATTTTCCGCTTTCTGTGTATTTGTGTGTGTTTGTGATGAGCCGGCAGGAAATTGGCTGTTAAATGGGGCGACAGTAGCAGTGTGGGACAAAATTGAAACCAGAGAGACTGAGAGCCCAATCCATCTGCTCTCTGTGAAATCAACCCCCTTAAAACAACTGGCCCTTTCATTAAGCCTCTACTCACCACCTGCAGAGCAGTAGACACATGTACACACACACACACACACACAGAGTTGCACTCTTCTGCCAGTTCGTACATGTGACAACCTGCAATGTGACCAAATAATAAAATTATCTTCTTTTGCGGTTGAGGAACACCAAAGCAATTGCTTACAAAGCTTCGACATCTTTAAGAGTTCTGAGCAAATGTCTGTCCTCCTCCAGAACATCTTATGTACGTAAATGCGCGTTCCAACTTCTTATCTGGTGCGCGTCTTTTATTTTGACAGCGAATGCGCACCTGCGGACCACTTATGTGCAGCCCTGCTTATAAGGCTTGGTGTAGACTTCTGCAGGGAATCTTTGTAAAGGCTACAAAGATACCTGTAGAGCCTGATGGCGTTGCCTGGGTTCATGGTTGTGCTGGTGCATTTGGTGTTAATTATTGTGTATTTGTCCCTCAAACTTTGCCACTTCTTTGTGCTTTTCCTCACATCCATTCCGGTTTTGGCAATCTTCCTCCAGGAATTTGCTCCTTATATTGATGCTATGATTATTATTCCTTATTCCACACATGAAGACAATGATCGTCATTCTCTCAATGACAAATTCCAAAACTGTGACAACAAAGTAGCTGCAATGTGCAGGAGGAATCGGCAGTACTAAGCACTCCCATCACAATAGCTGCGTCGACCTGTAGTTACATTTCTAGGGAGACTCATGTCAGATTATGGAGTAGGGCTTCAAAGAAATTTGTGGTAACGACGCAGCTATGGCACAGATCTCCCAACTGAAGCACAAATCCCCAGTAAACTGTCAACAGATGATTGAGTTGTCATCTAAAAGGACATCTCTCCATAGAAAATTTATTTAGCTGTAGAAAATGAATGCCAGTCCTGTGAGATCACAGAACAGGATATTCGTAGGCCAAATGCTTCTATGCTTCTTGTTTTTTCCTCCATATTAATGTTAAAGTGGCCACTGCACACAGTTAAGGAGGAGAATCATTTTTGGAATAGAAAAGTAAAAATTTTACGATTAGCATAATATTGCTTTTAAAAGCTTTGAATTGAGCATTCCAAAACCGAAGGTTCATTTTGTGAAGCAAATGCTATCATTCGCTTAAGTGCTATTTTGTAGAGCTATAATCAGCAGCAGTAGCCCATAGAAACATAATTAGCTTTGTTTTTTATTTAGATGCTTTTCTATTTTTACTTTAGTACTTGATAATAATAAAGCAATTTTACAGCTTGACAATAATACAGCTGACATACAAGTTATAGGTTTAAAATTTCAGAGAGAAAAAGAGAAACTGG